TTTTTGTATGGTCACATGAGAGTGGTGGTGTTTTATTATCTGAGCTGGATATTTTAGTTGTGAAGCTTTCATTGTCCTTCTTCTGAACACAACATCATCAGCACAAACTTCAGATAGCAGAAGTGAAGTATTCGAATTTCTCCACGTTTGACCTATAGCTTGTTCTGTTAGCGTCAATCTTGATTGGTTGTTGTTGATTTTAAACCTGTCGTTGTTTGCACCTTTGTTTTGATTGTATCCCCCTTTCGATCTGTTTCTTGATCCTATGTCGCCTATGATTTTTCTGAGTGATTGATAAATTGGGTCAATGTCGATGTGTTTGTTGATTGCTAATTGACCTGAGTGCCAAGCTTCTAAAAATTTTCTAGTGTTCTTTGTCCTCCCTCTACCCAGTATTTCCACATTGTTCCAATCGAATGTGTGTCCATAATTGTCGGTGTGTATTGATATAAGCGAAGCGTTGTCGTGGCGTTTGACTGCTAATTGATGTTCACGTAAACGGAGCTGAAGAGGTCGTCCACTTTGTCCTATGTAGTGTTTTTCACAGTTTGAGCAGTTGTTTATTTTGTAGATGATATTTGGTTTTTCTTCCTTTGTCATTTTGTCCTTTGGTCTACATAAGATTGAATGAAGTGATTCTGTTGGTTTGTGTGCCACACCTCCTATTCCAAATGGTTTCAGTAGTCGTGCTGTATGCTCCGACATGTCTTTTATGTATGGTAGGATGATCTGTTTATTGGTTCCTGCTGACGTTTTCAGTTGATGTTTTTTGATGAAGTTGCGTAGATGGCCATTCTTCTGGAAGATGGTCGTAAGATGTTTTCCATCGTTTTTTAGTGCTTCATATGTCCTGCAGTATGTCTTCACTCTCTTATCAATTCTTGTATCTTGACTGTAAGTGTCCAATACAAGTTACTCAAATAATACTAAAACAACTGAGAAATAATAATATCCTTAATTATAAAACGATTATCAACTTACATAATCATTCTATCTGTAAATAAAGAATCAGATCAATAGGTAATTGAATGTACACAAATTTTGTTACTAGTTATTTTAATCCTTGTTGTAAGGTATTCTAAACTGATACAAATTTATCTCATAGATTCATCACAAAATTGACGCGAAATGATGTGAAAAATATTTCCAAAAAAGTATGAATTCACATTCATCCAGATGGCCTACTTTAGTTTTAAATATCAAGGGCAAGATTTAAGCAACTGATATAAAAATGAATTCTTGAAGTATTTTTGTGACCAGCCTTGAAAAATTACTAAACCAATATTGACTACTTAATATTAGTAGATAGTATAATACGATACATAAAAGAATTTGGCTGCCAAACCTAGGTTTGAATCCTGTGAGTAACAGGAGTCGTGGATGCACATTACCACTGATAAGTCCTATACTAGGACAATGGGTGAGGTTGCACAAAACCATGAATTGATCGAAGTTGGACATTAACACCGTTGGATACCCCCGGCCCAGGAGTCCATAGGTTAGGTGTTCGCCCACAAGACCGAAAGATCCTGGGTTAGAATCCTGCTAGGTACAAGAGTCGTGGATGCACACTGTTGACGAGCTCCATACCAAGATATTCACGATTTCAATGTAAAACACCAATATCCATATATTGTGGTGGTGTTTCGTTCTCTGAGCTGGATGTTTTGGTTGTGAAGCTTTCATTGTTCTTCTTTTGAGCAACATCATCAGCACAAACTTCAGGTAGCAAAAGTGAAGTATTCGAATTTCTCCACGTTTGACCCGTAGCTTGTTCTGCTAACCTCGATCTTGATTGGTTGCTGTTGACTTTTGACCTGTCGTTGTTTGCACCTTTGTTTTGATTGCACCCCCCTTTTTATCTGTTTCTTGATCCTGTATCACCTATGATTTTTCTGATTGGTTGATAAATTGAGTCACTGTCGATGTATTTGTTGATTGCTGATTGGACTGAGTGCCAAGCTTCTATAATGAAAAAATCAAATTAACTATGATTTCGATTGTACAGTTTAAGTAAATAATCTCATTAACAATAAATATTTCTTTTGACACAGAACACCACAGTTAGAAGACATAATTGATTTGAAAAATGTGATGTATTTGCGCTATACACATTTTTCAAATCAATTACATCTCACTGTTCAATCAAAATTCATGAAAGGGATTTGTTGTAACCGCTTGCTTATATAATTCCTGGCTAAATCCTATTGCTTAGTATTCTCTGACCACAATACACTGGACAAGTTTCCCAAGAATCAAAAACACGGTTGAACAGGAAAAGATGATATTCCAAATAGCACAGTTAAATGGAAATAAGAAGCCAGAGGTAATGGCGAAGGCGAAGACAAAAAATAGATTCAACGTTAATCTCTTCATAGCATTTACATGAAAAGCTTCTGGATAGAAATTCACGCGATCAACTGGATTAGATTTAACCAATCAGCACGCAGCTAACAGTACGAGAATCTTCTACCCTGTTCTCCAAGATTCGATTAGGCGCTGATTGGATAGGAAATTAGCCAATCAGCACGCAGCAACGTAGTCATGCTTTAATTCATCTATGTCCCCCTAACAGGTTTAATTGTTTTAAATCAATAATTCATTGCTGAATCACGTTTCTTTTTTTCTTCAATGACATAATCGATCCCTTACGTTATTTAAATCTTCCTATTGATGTTTAGGATTGTTAGTGTCAATCTATTTATGTTTATGTAATGAACATGTTTACACATGCGTGATCTCAGATAGGCGAGAAGCCGGCGCGTATAGTTTATAACTAACTATACGCGCCGGTTTATTATCAATCTGTACTGTTTACTTATTATTATGATTAGTTAAACGATCGGTTTTTCTTTTTGGTTTTTTCTGAAAATGATTAACGTATATACAGAAGAGTAGTAGAATTTAGTGGCCGGCGGATTTAGTAGTCAACCATATTAATGTATATCAATATGTATTAACCGGTTATGTTTTGGGTTGGTCAGCTTGTCGATATATTCTATTACTTACTTAGTTAGTTACGTCTGTTACCCCCAATCGAGCATAGGCCGCCCACCAGTTTTCTCCAGCCAACTCTGTCCTAGGCTTCCCTTTCCAGTTTTGTCCAATGTTTGTTCATTCCTCTCATATCTTTCTCTATTTCTCGGCGTAATTTATTCTTTGGCCTTCCTCTTTTCCGTCCGCCTTGAGGGTTCCATGTGAGGGCTTATCTTGTGACGCAGTTAGGTGCTTTTCGTAGTGTTTCCTATCCACTTCCAACGCTTCTTCCTGATTTCCTCCTCCACTGGAATCTGGTTTGTTCTCTCCTACAGTACGTTGTTGCTGATGGTATCTGGCCAACGAATCCGAAGTATTTTGCATAGACAGCTATTAATAAACACTTGTATCTTCTGGATGATGGCTTTGGTAGTTCTCCAAGTTTCCGCTCCATACAATAGAACTGTCTTCACATTTGTATTGAAAATCGTGATTTTGGTGTTGATTGATATTTGTTTGTTCGTCTTTTCTTGCATTTGTTGTTGCGTGTGCGATAGAATCGCCAGGTCATCTGCGAAGTCTATGATGACATTTAATTTCGATGTTAATTTCTATTCAAAAATGTACTGATTTACTATCAGGAGTTTAGCGATCCGCAATCTAACTTCAGTTTTTTAATAACCCTTCAATACGGCAATGAAATCAATCTTTCCTATAATTGCCGTTTATCATGCTTAGGCAACAGCGTTAATAATTAGAAGCTAAATACCGATTCATTTGGAGGATTTTATTTTATACAACCCTTCATGTAGACAGCAGAGACATAAGAATATACAAAGCGTAATAGCAGGACGAAGCGAAGCACAAAAGGAAAGTGAACCAACTCAGTGTGGTGAGGCATGACTAAGTGTATTTATAGTCAAACACTGATAAGCTAGAGATGTAATAAGCGAGTTAAGCAATTCACGTACACAATCGGATAAAAAACAAACAAGATTTTAAGCGAATATTTGACAAGATCAAAAGACTGGCGAATAGTAACTCAGGTAGGATGGACTGATTACTTGGTCCAAAAGCTAGGGCGAACCCACTGTGAGCTCGACATATTCGCGTGCACACACTAACATTATCTGAAATCTCATGATATCTCGATCACATAAGAGCAACACACAAAATAATTCGAATCCTAGTCAAGGATATGATTTCTTGAGATTATAACAAGTGGTAGTACCTCCATATACATTTAAGTTTGTTCATTTTAATTTGGTTAAGCCCTTGCAAACTGAGTCATTTGTATAGCAATAACTTATATATACTATTGGCTTTGATTACTGTTGGGTTTGTATGAGCAGGTATGAGTGACTGAACAATGCTTGCTGAGCCTACACGTCTAACATATTCATTCTATTCGCTTTAATGTTAGCCTCGTAAATAATTCGATGACTCTCATCCATGTTTCCTATGTAAATAAATCAGTAAATTTTAATCCTATTCATTCATTCATTGAT